TTAGCTGGAAACTCATATTTTATACCCAATCAACTTATCATTACCAGAACAGTTATTCTGAGTAAGTAGAAGAGGGAATGAAGAAAGAGCAGAGCTGGTTCATGTATTCCTCATGTCCTGATGAAACTGTTGAGGGTACTTTACAGACCCTATGAACTACAGTGTTTGAAAGTCACTGGGATTGAGGATGCTGATATCCCTTCGTATAGAGGATTTTAAGGATGAGACCAAGTTCCTTGAATGTGTAAGACTCTCACAACAAAACCCCGTAATTCAACCTCACTTGGAGAATGCCTTTGCACTGAGCCTGGGTTGGGCCAGATAAGAATAAAAATATGCTATCTATTTCCTGTCCCTGTCTGTAGACTAAGGATATGTAAAGTAGATATATACCACATTTGGTTGTGAAAATAAAACAAAAGAGACTGAGCTCTGTCAGATACATCTAACACAATGCTGTCTATAGGTTGTACTAGATAAATGATTTCTTCTCTGATTTTATTTTTCTAGTATTTCTTTAAAATAATATGTTATATACAAGACTGTGTCAGCTTGTGGTTCAGTAAGAACGAAAGTGTCAGAACTCCTGGGAGCCTGCAGAGAGAAAAGATAGAAGGCAGGGGCCTGAATCTCAAAGATTTTTTTCCCTAAAATATTATGAAGGATTAATTTGATCCTGAAGGTCATAAGCCTCTTTAAAGGATCTTAAAAAGAGTTGCAGAGTAGAATATACATTAGAGAAAAGGATAGAATTATAGGTACTCCATAAGTTGTGGTAGTTTGGCTTGGATTAGACACAAAAGGTACTTGACTAAGGTGTGGATCAAAGGTAAAATGTCTGCCTAGCAAGCATGAGGTCCCAAGTTCAAACCGCAGTACCACCAAAGAAAGAAAGGGAGGTAGAACAAAAGAGAGAAAGAAAAATAAAATAAATAGGAGGTGTTTGAAGGGATGCTTCTATGAGATAGGGCTCTAGATCTAAAGGACAAATTCAGACTCCAGTTTTATTTCTGCTTACCTAGCTCACCCAGGAACTTTGTGTAGCATGAAAATTATATAGCTGCATGAAAGTAACACACACAAAAAGACTAATTTGAATGAAAATTGCCAGAACCATGAAGATGGCCACAGATGAAAAAAGTCATGGCTATACAGGGGTTAAGAAGAGAGAAGTATGAAGTATCATCTATTAAGTAGGATAGAAAGAATTGTGAGGACTGGGCTAGATGTGGTGAAAGGTGTTTCCAGTTACCAGGGCAAAAATCTGGAAAGAATAGTTATTTGTAATATCTAGTATATGTCTGAGTCAAGCAGAAAAGGACAGATAAGGTGATGTTAGGAAAATAAACCCTAAGATATGTATTCAAATGTTTTTTTCTTTCATGTGATTGTTTCTAACACATTTATAAGATCATTTCTTTGTTGCTTTGTATGTCCCTCCCCCACAGTATAACCCCTGCTTTCACTGTATTTGATGTCGGTATAATTTGTGGAGGTGAAGGGGAAAACAAGTCGTTTAAATAGGGATACAGGTGGACCCATTGCAACAATGAGATGTACAAGTCGTTAAGTCGAAAACGAACTTTACAACTTGATAAGAATGTACTCATTATCTTGATAAGAAATCTAGTCATTGATAAGAAATGTACACATTGATAAGAAATGTACTCATTATCTTGCCCATGTAATTGTAACCCCTCTGTACAGTATTTTCACAATAAAAAATAAATAAAAATTAAGAAAAAAGAAAAGGTGACAGACTGTGTTTTGAATATACTATCCTTGTGGTTCTAAGGTATATCTAGGAGGAAGGAAACATCCAATGCTCTACCAAATACATGGTTTGAAGTACAGGTAATTCCTGTTGCTTAATAATACATTTTTTAGAAGTCTTCAGTATGCAAGTGAACTGAAGCTGTAGGAGTTAAGAATATTCAGGATAATTAATAGAAATGTGATGATTCATCAATGATTTTATTTTTGCATTTAAAAAAAATCACAATGTCTGCCATGGATCATTGTAGAGGAGACAAATAGTCAGCTACTCTTCTTTATTCTGTACCACTTTGTTGATGTCTAAAGTGGTGGCTTTGCCATTTGAAAGTTCAATTGAGCTTCCTCTCAGAGGAACAATTGATTTCCCCCATCAAGCCTTGTTTAAACATAGCTATAATGGTGCTGAGAGCCAAATACTCATAAAATGGTTCTGGAAATGTGCTTTTGTCTCTTTTAATTCTGGTTGTAATTATATTAAAGTGTACCTGAGGACTTTGGCATTAGGGATAGTAAGAGCTGCTGGGTACCTCTCAAAGAATCTGAATTTGCTACTGTATAAAAGGGAAACAAAAGCGATTAATTGGATAAAAGAAGCTAGGTATTGTCATGAATTTAATAAAACCAAGGAAAATGATATTTCAACAACAACTCACTTTTCTATCTCTCCAATTAGAATGAATGTGAGAAGACAGCTAAGCTTGGAAAACAATCTATCTGGAAATGCAAATCATATCTACATATGAATACAGAGCTTTGCTGAGTGGAAACAGTTTACAACGGATACCTCAGCAAGATGTCTACAAATGTAAATTTCCAATGACACTAACAAATTTGTTCTAATAATGTTGGCATAGTAATAATTAAAAATAATCAATAATCTTTTAAATACTTATTCATCTAATTTACAGATATTTATGAAATATACTTCACAAGATGATGCTGCCAACTGAAAGAAGCCCAGCCCATAGATACATCATGGCATCTGCCACAAGCTACCATTAAATTTGCCTTCAGGATCTTCTCTGTCATAAGCATCATTTTGTCTTGTCTTATGGGGTTTCTCTTTACTCATCCCTAAGCAGAATAGCTGATTTTAAAGACTACTTGTTTTTCAGGTATTTATCTAATACAAAGAATAGGTATTATTGATTTATAAGAAAGATGCTCTCACACTAAAGAGGAAAATAAGTCCTGGGCTCATTACTGGATCACTGGTAGGAACTAGTCTTTAACCTTATATATGGCGAAGGGAATAATTTCTGAATTGACAAGACTGGGAGAGTAAAGGTAAATGCAATGCCAGTTGTGTTTTGAGCATTCTTCTTTGTAGAGTGAGTTATTCTGTTGAGTCAGTTCAAGTTCAATAGGAAGAGGTTGTGCCCTCTGGATCACATCGCCCCCTAGGGAGAGAAATGATTTGATCCTAGGGAATGCGGCAGTCTTTGCCACTGAAATGTACAAATATGGTCCAAAGTACACAGTGGGCCTTAAAGTCTTAGATTAATAGTGTTTGAGCCCATTATATAACAGTTCTCCTGAAATAAATACCATCTCCTTTCATGAGGACAAATTTCCTTCAGGTTAACTGCATAATCGTATAGCTGAGTATGGAGAGGAACGTTGAGAGATGAAGTGTGAGGAGGCATGGCAAATGCTCATTTATCAGGAATCAACATACAGTATCTCACAGTGCCATCTTAGGGCTGGGAATGTGGCTTAGTGGTAGAGTGCTTGCCTAGCATGCATGAAGCCCTGGGTTTGATTCCTCAGGACCGTATAAACAGAAAAAGCAAAAAAATGGTGCTGTGACTCAAGTGGTAGAGTGCTAGCTAGCCTTGAGCCAAAGAAGCTTGGGGTCCTGAGTTCAAGCCCTAGGACTAGCAAATCCTAATGGTGCCATATTAGTGGTGATTACTAAGCAGAAATGATTTATTTGTATCAAGTTTGCTTTAAAAATATTGATAGAAGTATCTATCACGCAAATGATCCAATATCTAACATCATTTTTGACCTTCCTAAAAAAATTAGTTCTGCTCTCTTCATTTATGTTGTGCAGGCTTTTTTGTTTACAAATAGTCTTGTAATTTTTCTAGTCAGCAACTGTGCTTAGGTATTCAAGTTCTGTGGATTATTTCACACATTAGTAAGACTAAGATGGTGGTCCTAGAGACTGACTTCAAGAGAAACTCCAGTAAGAGATGAAGGTTCTGCTAGTAAATTATCTTTGGCAGGGTGGTGATATGGAGAGAGCTGGATAAAGGAAAGCAAGAGGGCAGTTAGCAAGCAGTGACTTTGGCAGCTCTCCTCAGTTTGTTCTTGAGTCAGTTTAGCAGTGGACATTTTTTTCATCCCCTGCCATTGATCTTTGTAGTGCTCTATCAGACACTAATTTTGAACTCCTAGATGTCAAATAATCAGCACAGCAATCTGGGTACAGATTCTTCCTAATATTTAGGAGAGAGATGCTTTCTAATATACATGGTGAGTTAAATTTGGAGAATAGTTATATATTATAGAGTTGTCTAGTGGCAGGTTAAAGGCCTAAAAGTAAGCCTAGGAAACAGCGTAAGTCTTGGGTTTTCTAAAAACTGAAAGCAAATATCTTTGTTGTTGCTCTCTTGGCTGAGTTCACTGTGCCCACTTTAACACAGTGTAAAGGTTTACATGTGATCACACATAAGAATTAACAGAAGGTGATATTGAAAATTGGGACTTTTTATCCATCCATCCATCCATCGATCCACAATCCATCGATCGGTCCATCCATCCAGGCATCCAGCCAGCCAGCTGACCAACATTTACCAAAGAAATCAAAAGACTAGTTTTGAAAAGCTCAGCTTGTAACATGTAGTAGCACACGACCTCTGCTCTTTTAGGGAAGTAAAAACTGTAAACTAATAATTGTCATCAGTATGAATAGTGCAATAATGGACATGCACATCAGATCTAACAGTGGGCAATAAACGAGTGAAAAATCGAGTCTGAAGAAATAGAAGAGACTAGTCTTCCAAAACAGAATATTTTTCCTGCTATTCCTTGGTTTTTAAAGTGCCCCATTGATGAATGCGCAATACAGAGAATCATTCTTCAAATAGGTCTCTCAAGGAGCACAAAATATAACACTGTGTTCTGGAAATCAGGGCAGCTTATAATTACTCCTATGGTCATACTGCTTGCTACAGCTACAGAGGGGAAACTGTTCATTGCAAATGTGCATTTTGTACCTTTGCTGAAGAACAGATGTGATCTGCTTGCAGAAATTCTCTCCATTTTGAGCAAACTCCTTTAAGCTCTTGTATATTTTATTGTACTGAAAAAAAAAGATGAACAGGAGGTTTATGATCACTTCTAAAGATAGAGTCCCCTGCTGTAATGATGGCTGTCATCATAAATGACTGTGAAGCTACAGGAATGTGCAGTTTTTAGATGAGTTTTTAAAACTAAGTCTAAGTTTCCTGTTTCAGAATATGAAGGTTCTAGAGAACTTTCCAAAAATAAATCTAGTCTATCAGTTTCTCTCCTGGGCCAAATACAAACAATTCAATAGTGAGGTACATTTGGAATGTGATTTCCTATGACCCTTATCATTCCCAGGAATGTCAAAAGTTTAGTTGAAAGGACAACACATACCATTTTTTGTGTCTCTTTCCTACTGCAGAATAATATTTTTGGCTTATGGTGACAACAAACGTAGGTTGATTCTACAACTTAATCTGACACAGCAGCTGAATTAGAATTAGATCCTCTATCTGCATATGGTGCTAGCAGAACTTCAAGCAGTGGAAATAGGGTCACAAAGGAAGAAAGACCTAAAGAAATGAACTGTTCCAAGTTCCTACTTTTGGAGATGAAACAAAGTAATTCAATATCAAAGATATAAAATCTCATTATTTGTAAACAAACTACAGTCTAAATTTTCTTTAAATTTAAAGCGTCTAAAATCTACAAAAAGATTTGGTAGATACCAAGTATAGGTCAAATATCCTACTCTGAAAATTAAAAATCCAAAACACTTTCACATCCAAACCATTTGGATCAATCACCTGATACCAGAAGTGGAAAACTTCATACCTGACCTCATGTGATAGATCTCAGTCACAACACAAGAACAGGAAATGGTGTATACAATCACCTGGAGGATATGTGTGTATGAATTTCTTATTTAGATCTGGGTCACATTATGCATTTCATTATGCTTACACAAATCTTCCAAATTTGGAAAAACTTCTGGTCTCAAGCAGTTTCAATCAGATTTGTTCAGCCTTTATTACCAAACAGCTGCAGGGAAATTGCCTGGTCCACAAGGAGAGCCTTGAGGGTGTAGAATACTCACAAGGAATTTGTTAACTTCATAGAGTGGTTGAAAGTTTGTGTGTATGTGTGCATGTGTGTGTGTTGGAGAAGGAATGCAGGCTGGAATGGCAGATAGCATTGCTGTTCTGATCTTTTTGTGTCCAACAGGAATATGGCCCAAGATAGTCAGATCTCCCAGTTTGTCCAAAAAACAAAAAACAAAACCCAAACAATCTGATTATGGGCATGTTCAAATAAGCAGTAAACAATTCACTAATTTTCTGCAGTGCAAGTGCATCATAAATGTACAGGGGCTGAATTCTGGCCTTTGTCCTGAATAGAAATAAGTCTACTCTAATACTCATGAGACGAAAGTCACCATTTGTCAACCAAGCTTTCTGAGCTTCTTATCCATAAAACTACCTTTTCCTCTGTGAGTAATATGATTCATTGAAAGTCTCTTTTTTCTCCTCTAGGCATACTGGGAAAATATTGGTAAGAAGGTCTACAGGAAAAAACCTTATACAGCTGTCTTGTTTATTACTCAACATTTCACTACATTCCTTCCTAAGCCTTTTGCTTTCTTCTTATCACACCTAAGAGCATCCCACAAAGCACATCTTGGTGCCAGGAGCAGAAATCACAGAAATGTTCAGCAGATTTATATCCCCCAAATGAAGACAATTCTCAGCTTCCTTCAGTACATCTGTAATGGTGTCACTAAAGGCTGTCTGAAGATATGTAACAGAAAGCCTTTGTTTTGCTTTTGGTGTTTCAGTTCATGAGCCTCCTTGTTTTGCATGCTTTGTACTCTTAGAAATGACAGTCAAGGCAACTGGACAGCATGAACCAAGATCACAAAATAGCCCGCGTGCCTGCTGGCATACCTGACATCTTCACTGTCTATTTCCGGACTTACTTTGTATGTAAGAGAAATACAGAGGCCTTATTAGACTTATTTAGAGTTTTCATAACAGGAAGTTTAACATGGTTCTAACAAAGTCTTAACTTTTTGTTATAAATTCTGAAACATCTTTATGTTTCATAAAATAGCAATACTACAGAAGGCAATACTGCACAGTGTGTATTCTACCTAAGTCATAAAGATATTAACAATTTTTTCTTTATTTCTTGCTTCGAGCAAAGTTATTTCTTTCCTTTTCTAAATTTCTCAGGCTATCTTGGGTATTTATTTTTCCACATGGAAAGGTATCTAATTATAAAGTTTTCTTTCCTAATTCCTATTGGAATGCTAATTGGAATTGTATTATGCATATGTATATACATCTATGTACATATAATATATAATTATGAGAAATGGATTTTTAAAATGGTATTTAGACTTCCTAGCCAAGAACACATTATAAATCTTTTCATTTGTTCAAATCTTATTTCATGTTCAATAAAATTTTATGTTTTCTTTATAGGTTCTGCAGCTTTCTTAATTGATGAATTCAGAAACATCTCCCAGTGTTAAGCTTTGTATTTTTATGTGTTGTTCTATTTATTTATTTTTTCTTCTGTCATCCAAGCAAAGCAGAAACAATTATCCAATTAAGCTACCATGGGCTCTGGGCAAGATGGAGAGATTTGGATGAACGGCAGGGTTTTACTGAGGCTGGGGGAAAACAAGGTGCCTTGGGCACAAAAGAAAGAGCTCCCTTTCCCTTTCCCATAGGTAGACTTGGGAGTTGAAGGGAAGAACCCCAAGATGGATCTTTTTTTTTAAAGAAAAAGGTCTCTCTTCCCAGTCCACTATCATCTGAGGTCAGCCTTCATACAACAGCCTTGAAGAGAGGACACCGGGGGCCGAGCTTGGAGAGCAGTGTGAGGATGAGAGCTCCGAGGAGAACCTTGCCCATAGCTGACACAGAAATGAGTAAAAAGCACTGAGGATTTTTCTGAGTGGCTAACATTCCTTGAGATATACTTTTTATCCTCTGAACAAGTGACTGATTTCAGGAGGCCAGCCCACCCTGAAGGTTCATAAAGCAGACTGAAAACTTGGGTGACCAGTGGAAAGAAAAATGTACTAGTCTTCCAAAGACATTCAGAGCCAACTTTAAAGAAGTTGGGGGTTGTTCAAGAAAAGCACATGCATCTCTTCTCTTGATCTTTGGGCCTCCTACTCTAGGTTTTAGAGATGATCTTTTCATATCACAGCACCTACAGAAAATACTTGTACTCAAACAGAGTGGTGAGCAAGGTTGTTTCAGGCAGTGGACTGTCTATGGTTGGGTCCCTTGTACTCTGTGGACTTAAAGGGCTGAAGGATTGGTGAGGGCTTCATTCTCTTAACTTCAGTGTGTCCAAGCAAATGCAACCAGGAAGTTTTCCAGTAAGTTACATTGTTAATCTAATGATCAGATAAGAGAGGGATGGATGTTCTGCTTATGACAACAATGAAGAGAATCTTTATCTTTGAACCTATATACAATGTGCTGGAAACTCCCACAATCCCAGATCTAAGTTGAGATAAAGTTGACATCAACAGACAATAGGGTTGCTAAGAATAATTCCATTATCACAGCTTAATTCCTTATTTAGAATCAATAGTTCAGTACTTTTCATCTTGTATTATATATGCACAACTGAATGCAAAAACTATGAAAAGTATGGTTATATAAATGCCAAGGTAGATCATAAAGACCATCTATGAAAGATAAATTAGAGAGAGAGAAAGTAGGATGTATATATACATGGAAATTTCTTGACATTAACTTGGGATTCATCTCTTCTTCCCACTTCACTTCTACTCAACAGAGAGGACTCCAGAGATTCTATGGAGCACAGTTTAGAAACCAATGTAGTCCAATCCTCTTATTTACAGTTAAGGCCCAAAGAGCTAAAGTTTAACTAACAAACTTCCTCATTAGATGGAACAGAATTGTGGTCAGAAATGTTAGGTAAGCAAATCAATGGGAGAATCCATCAGAACCAAAGCTGTTGTTTTTTTGGTAGCTAATTTGTAAAAATTACCCCACCATTATTCAGAGTGCTGGAAATTTTTTTTTTTTTCGGGTCCGGTCATGGGGCCTGAACTCTGGGCCTGGGCGCTGTCCCTCAGCTCTTCAGCTCAAGGCTAGCACTCTACCACTTGAGCCACAGTACCACTTCCGGCTTTTTTCTTTTTGCTTATGTGGTGCTGAGGAATTGAACCCAGGGCCTCAGGCATGCAAGGCAAGCGCTCTACCACTCAGCGACCTTCCCAGCCCAGTGCTGGAAATTTTAAAATCAGTACTGATGGTTTCTTTTGTATGTGTGCTGGTAGTAGGGCTTGAACTCAGGACCTGAGTACTGTTTCTAAGCATTTGTACTCAAGATTAGTATGCTACAATTTGAGCCACAGCTTTTTTGGTGGCTAATTGGAGATCATAATCTCATAGACTTTCCAGCCCAGACTGGCTTTGAACCATGATCCTCAGATCTCAGCCCTGGGTAGCTAGAATTATAGGTATGAGTCAGCCAACCACAAACAAAAGAAGGTTTATTTTGCTGAAAACCACAGGTAGGAAGTTGAAATTTCTTTTCTAGTCATTGAACTTTCAAATATTCTATCCCTTACTACATTCCAAGAAATAATCTAATATTGGTTTTACATCATTACATGAATTCATATGAACATTCTACATCTTCCTAGGACCATTTATTACAAAGCAAAAACAGTAAGAGTTTCACCACCCTCTGACATTTCTGAGTCCCTAAAATATTCTTCCACAAACACAACTAGCATACACAGGCATTTGTCAGTCATCCATTAGGAAAGTGTTCCTGCCCCACAGCTGGAAACAAAGGCTGTATAAATTGTACCATTTCACAAAAGAACTTGGTAATCTAGGCAATTAACACAGGAAATGACAAGACAAAATGACTTGTAAACTATATGAAATGCTTATATCAAAGGTGGCCTCACTGAGCTTTCTGGCTTTACAGTTTGAATGATTGAAGCTAAATTCAGTGACTCTAGACTTTTTTAAAATTATATATGCTAGCATAGATCTTTGAAACAACACAACA